CTGCTGCCGCTGTTGTTGTTGTTGTTGACATCATGATAGCCACTCACTGCCGATTGTGTGCCAGTGGTTGTCGTCTGGGTGGCCACGCCTGACAATTTGGTTAGTCCACATCCATTCCATTTGCTCTCGCAGATTCCCAACACTTCTATACCATATCTTTTCATTTCTTTCGCTAACTGGACAGCCTTCCCAGCTTTGCACATAGTACGGACATTCTACATGCCCATTCTTATTCTTGCTTTCATCGAGAGAAGACACACTGGCTGGCTGGCTGGCTGGCTCCCCGAAGGCTTTCATTAGCCAACCAACCCTCTGTGTAATTTCGCCTCTCCAATTCTAGCGAAGAATAAGTTTGTCTTTTGTATTTTTAATATATTTCTTGTGCGTTGAAGTTTCTGTAGCAGTTTGATTGACTTTCTGGGGTATATAGTCACTAGTCCAACGCCCAACCCTCCCTCTTTTTTCTCGGGCTTGGGACAGACTAGGCGAGGTTTTAATAACTTGATACCAACATGAAACTGCAGGAGATAAAGTCATTCATCAGCCAACTGGCGCTGATGTCAGTCAATATACTAAAACCTACAAATCAGAGGACGTGTAAGTCGCTGCCAACACAGGTGTCTAAAGCAACGGATTATGTTCTGTTTCGTAATGTAGCGTTTCGTGAGTTGTCCGTCTTCCCCCCCCCCCCACCGCCTTCACCTTTCTCCAGATACATTAATTGTCATATCTTATTGAATTGAACATCTAGGACAGATACTTTGTAACTAGACGCCTACTTTCTAATCCAGTATATCTTGTAAATTTCACTCCCTTTTGTCGGTGATGACCGAAGTATCATCTACATCTCTGATTTTACAACCCGAAATTGTTGATCCTTTTCTTAGATTTGTGTTCCTCAGTGTCAACATGTAAAACACTGTGAGTTCAGGGGGCTAGTGTTGAACCCATAGCTATGCTATCCGTATATCTATACATCCGTATATATTTCCTCACTAGAAGAGAATTGCACACTAAGAGTGTATCTCAACAGAAATTATTTCAAACATTGAGTAGAAGACATGTACTGGAATCGATATATTTGCATATGTGGCATATGACTGATTGATTTATCGATTGAGTTTCAACATACCAAACTTTGCACGGAACTGATGTAGTTCAAGTTGCCACACTCCACACACCACACAAACACACACATAAAGACAAAGGTGGAGAGAGAGGGAACAGGAAAAAGAAATCCAAAAGAATTACAATGTACAAGTGTTGGTTTGCCAGGAATTGATTTGATTGGTTACAGGTTTTCATCATCATGAGATGACATCGGTTAGAGGATCATTGGAAAACAAACAGGAAGAACTACCAGACAGCTAGCTGTTTCGTCAGCGTAGTTTGGGACTAGGCTTCAGTAGTACCCACCCACCACAGGAGTTTGAACCCACGACCTTAAGGTTACAATGCGAGCGAGATCGTAGACCATTATTATTTAGCAGCTGGGACTCGATCCAATGGCCGGCCCACGAATTCCAACTTCTGTCAATTCACGATATAGCGCTACCACTAGTCAGTGTCGTCGATGAGTATCTGTCCTCGTGACCAGTGGAAGTACAGCAGGTTGGGTGTAAGGACAAATACTCGCTACCGATGACATTGGCTAGTGCCAGCCGCGCTAAAGTCACGAATTGATATAGAAGGTGGAATTCACGGACTAGTCACGATAGATCGGGTCGCAGTGGCTAAATGGTCTACGACTTCGCCCACCTTCTAACCCGAAAGGGCCTAGGTTAGAACCCATTTGATAGGTAGTACTGCTGAAGTAGACTTCCAAAATAAGCTGACGAAACATCTAGCAGTCCAGTACTCCCTGCTGGTTTTCCAACCAATGTCAGTTGACGTCAAGTCAGTCTACACCTCCCTAGGTGGCCGGATGAAACTAACCATCAAGCACTACGGGGATTGATACTAGTTCTCAATGTAACCATCCACTATCTGTCTGTCTGGATTTAACATAGAACTTGGCACCGAAGTGCAGCAGTTCGAGTTGCCACGTTCCAAATACCACACAAAGGTAGACAAGAAGATAAGTGAAGAGAATCAATAGAGTTTTGACAAGTATAAGAGTGAAATAGAATGAGTAACGGTAACAAGAAATTGGTGGCGTGGCTTTAGGAGACTATCGGTAGTCGTTTTTTGGCTTCCGTCGTTTTCAGTGCACACAGAGTGAAGAGTCATCAAGTAGAGGAGTTGCATCAGTAGAAGGAAGGCAAGATAATAGAGATGAAGATGAAGACAAAGATGAGTGAGGATTAGAGAGGTTTCGCATGCATTTTGGATTGTGAGGGCGACTGTTACATCCCGGCTGCTCACACCGTGGAAGTTGGTTGCGTGACCGCAGAGCCCAGGAGACAACCGCCTAAGGCCGGTCACACGCGGCCTGTTTTTGTTTGTTGTCTTTTATTTGGTGTGTCTCAGTAGCATATTCATCACTTCTGCCCTGTGACAAGGCAGCAGGTAGCGCGGTCTTTGTTAATCTGGGCCCCAACCGATCCGGCATGATATTTTGTTTGAGTCATAGCATTGGATTGGGTAACTGCTTTTTGTCTAACCGCTATCCAAACAACCTTTCTGGCATGATAGGACCTCAAGCGACATAAGTCTCAGCCAGCATAGCTTGTTGGGTCATTGCGGTGTTCAAGCCCGACCACCACGTCAAGGTACCAGCTAACTCCACTAATTCTTTTCCAACCTAATCTTGTGTCAGATAACATTGCTCATCGAGGAAGATTATGTCTCAGAATGCCCAACACGTGTCCTAACCACCATCTTAATCGATGCAGCTTCACAACCTCATCAACTGGCTGACTTACCCTCCTTACCTACCTAACACTCAACATCTAACCTCAATACTGCTCACCATACTATACCATTTAACAAAGGGGGGGAAGTGATACACAAACATATACAGCATACTATTTCAGTTAATGGTGATGCCATCCTTTATCATATTCTTCCCTTTCGTCTCCGAGGAAATGCGCTGCGCACCGATAAGTTTGAAAGCCAACCAACTAAAAATTGTACGAGAGCACATTTGGGGACTCACGAACATAAGTGAATGGCTAAAATACAACAAGAATGTATGGAAAATATGCCGATGTATAGTATGTTGGATGGATAGAAACCCAGGCAGCCAGGTTACTCAAGCATGCTGCCAGTAGTAACAACGATAAAATAATGAAGGTACTTACGTAATTATCAAGCTTTGTTTATATAGTCCTATTATTTCTTATCCTTTGATTTGATTGGTAGTAATTATTTCTCCATATCTCTGATATGGTTCACGCCTCAATCCTATTGCTGAACGTGGTTAGATGTAAATTTGTTACATGGTTGACTGAGAGCTGACATCAGTTATATAGAACTACTGGAAGACTGATAGGGAGTATTAAACAGTTACTTAGTCAGCTTAGTTTGGAACTCTGCTTCAGTAGTACGTACCCACCACCACCAGCCGGCGTTCGAACTCACGACCTTCCGGTTACGAGGAGAGCTCGCACATATCATTAGGCCACTGAACAAAAATACCTATGTCACTTTTCAGAACTGTAGTTCTGTCCTACTTTATTGTGTGTTAATGTGTGCATTGCAACAACTGAGTGTGTGTACCTCCAGCCTATTCATGTTTGTCGAATCAATCTTCGCAAACTTAGATAATTTCTTATGCTCCGATAAACCGATTATCCCCCGATCTACTCGTCTGACCTTTGTAGATTAAACTATGCTATCTAATCTTATTTTGATTATAGCTTGATTCCACATTGTATTTTTGGTACAAGTGTGAAATTTTCAGCATGCGACATCGGTAGCCCAAATTTTGCAGGCCGACCATTGATATCAGGTGTGCATCGGCAGGGGATCGAACTTCCGGACCATGTGCATGGTCGGCGAGAGTCCTAACCGCTGTGCCACTGACGTCAGGAGGTACCTTCAGCCTACACAGCTTATCCCTGAGTGAGTTTGTGGGTATATACGTCCCCCCACCACCACCACTAATTCACAGACCGATATCAGATAAAGAACCATTGAAAACAAGGGAATATTTGGGAAAGTTTTTTCACGCCACTTTGGGACTCTTCATCAGCACGCACACATACATAACCCCACCACCGGGGATCGAACCGAGAACCCTCCAAGTTACAAGGTGTTCTCGTTGACTATTAAGCCACTGAGACGGAATCCAGTGACAAGTTCATGAATTCTAAATTCCGTCTACCACCTCAAGCCAATCTCACCAGAGAGTATTCGTGTATTCACACCAGACCTGGTGGACCCCATCACTGGTCAAGACTCCTCACCAGGACTGCAGGCAACTTCGTCCTGCAACTAGTTGTTACTGGTGTGCTGCTTGTAAGGACCTGACTGGTTTCAGGTTTGATTTCGGATTGACTAACTTCTCACACCCAGCTTCCCCTCTTTTTCCATGCCCTCCACCGGCTAGTAAACTTCCTAGGCAAGGTTTAAGAATACATCAGCCAGGAATCCAACTTCGACCTCCTTCAATGATTGACGGATCCACCTCCACCAGGTCGTATATGAGGACAAATTCCCCGCTAGCGACATGACATTGGCAGGTATCAGTCGCGCTAAAATCATGAGTTGGTAGAAGTTAGAATTCATAGGTCCCAATAGCTGAATAGTCACCGAAGTCACCTTGTGTGGCCAGAAGGTCCTGGGATCGAACCACACGGTGTGGGTGCGTTCTGATGAAGCGGATTCCCAGAGCAGGACGAAACAGCTGGCTGTCTCCAGTACTCTCTCTCTCTCTTTGTTAGTTTTCAAAGCTTCCCTAACCGACATAAATCATCCATGAGCGAAATTTGAGCACTCTCCTCCCACTGAACTAGCAACAACGCATACATCCTACCCTAACAGGCAACTGAATAGTGATCAACTAGCTCGTAAACAGAGTGACAATGATATCAGAAATTTACGATAAATATATGTATATTTTTATGTATATATGTATGTATATTTTTATACATATTATAATTAAATAAATATGAATAAATAGCCTACAAATAAAATAATAGTAATATTAATAAATAATCTAAAGTAATACAAAATAAAATAAAGTTCACACTGACTAGATGTTCTAGGCGAGATAATTTAACAACAGCCACCGATATTGTTCATAAAACCAAAATGTCAAGCCTGTAGTCAGCGTGGCTTTCACTGCAGACGGTATCCAACCTTTAAATATACCACGTAGACCTTGTTGTCGAAGAATATCCGCTAGACAGGCCAGTGTAGCAAAATACTGACTTTTATTCATCTGTAATAGATTGATATGTTTATAGCTGGCTGGAGTATAACCTTTCGGTATTGTACCGAAATCGGTACGTGCTTTCTCGAAACCACGTATTTCCAGGCGCTTTTTAACTAAATCCAGTGGGTAGACAATAGTTTTAGCCAAGAGGCCAGAGAATCCGCCAGCCCATAAAGAGAAATGCCATGGAAGACTACTAGATGATGGTTGTTGATGATTAGCTTTCTTCTGTGGAGATTTTTCATCTATTAAAAACATAGAACAAGAAAAACCGATTTAAAAGTCGAATAAACATATGTTGCCTTTGGATGTAGAATCCCCATTTACGAACGTTTCACTGACAGAAACCATATGTTTTCTATGCAAATATATTGAAGACAACAAACTGAATATAGGGATAACCATTACAGATCCGAAAGAACTGCCTTTCAGATGTACATTGAATGTACAGTTTACTTTCAATGAAACAATCTACAGACAAAAGGATGGCATTGCAATGGGTTCTCCCTTGGGTCCTATCCTTGTAGACTGTTTTATGTCCAGCCTAGAAAATGGTCAGCTGAAGCCTATAAACCAAAGCTTTCAAATGTATAAAAGGTATGTAGATGACACCTTTATTATTTGTAATAGTGATTGTAACTTGAATAATATATTAAATGTATTTAATGGTTGCCATCCGGCGATAAAATTCACACTCGAAATGGGGAATGAGTCTAGCATTCATTTCCTCGATGTGAACTTATCAAGGACGGCTGATGGAACATTGAAGAGATCGATTTATCGTAAGCTGTCATGGAATGGTCAACTGACAAATTTCTACAGCTGGCTACCCATTGGTCGAAAACGAAACATGATCCGGTCGCTTGCCACTCGTATTCGGCGCATATGTAGCCCTGATACTGTGCAAGATGAGCTATACATTTTGAGGAAAATCCTAATACAAAATGGATTTCCACCACGTTTTATAGATAAGAATATACATTCAAATCCTAAAAAACATGATTTATCAATCGTACCCAAGAAAATACTTTACATGAGCTTGGAATTCAAAGGAGACTTAGCTTCCTATATCATGAAACAAAGGATATCACAGTCCCTGAAAAAGAACATTCCCTGCTGCATCTCTGAGAATAGCCTTTACTAGTCGACTATTACTGTTCAATAGCCCCCTGAAGGACAAGATCCCGCTGTTGATCAACTCTATGTGTGTTTATCAATTCACCCGCTCGTGTGGAGAGCTAGGTATATCGGTCGTTCGAGTCGAGTTTTGTCCAAGAGGGTGCAAGAACACTATCCTGCATGGTTACGAAGAGGTGGAAGTGGAGCAATAAGAAGCGCAATCATTGAACATCTGGTCGATAATGATCACCCTATCTCTATAGCCTCCGCCTTTAAAGTCATCTACAAGGCAAAGAGTAATTTACCCAAATCCCTACGTACCCCACTCATCTGCATTGCTGAAGCTTTGGCTATTTGAAACAGAAAAGCCAGATCTCTGTGTACAAAAAAGTTCGTTCAACCCCTCCAACTTTCATGGTCTTAATCCCTGTATGCTAAAGTATGGTAATCCCCAATTATATTTTGGCTCTACCAATTTTTCATTTTTGTCAATTCAATTTATATACTCTTCCTTATTACGTCAATTGTTACTATTACTACTCTCACTTTTAACTGTCCCCGGTATTATTTCACTTGTTCCACTTGTCATTCTAAATCAATTCCTTTTCACAACAATAAATTCTATGCTATTACGTTTCACAAAATATTACGTAACGTTTTTATTTTAATCTTATAAATGCACACCCTCTTTCAAGTTCTATCCATCCTATGAATTATTCCGTATATAACATTAATTTGCTTTGCCATTTGACATATAATTATGATTATAATCACAAACATTTTAGTTTCAATTGCATTTCATGCTACTATTATTATTATTTTATGCATTCACACCTATGTTTCAATTCCCTCACCGGATATAAATTCTTAAAAACCATATATACATATATGACTGTACAGCTTGATGATAAATGCGTTGAAAACAGTCTCTTCGCTGAATCTCCACTTGTTTTGATTTTCTATATGTTACAATGGGAATTTTCCATGATTTAAAAGTTAACCTCAAATCATATATTTATTCAAGTCGGTTGCCTTTGCAGACACTTCGACGAAAGCATCCATGCATTTATTATAGAAGGCAAGATGGCATAAATTATTACAATACAGGTTAAATTGTGTACAGGTTAGGTTCACAAATAAGGGATAGAAAGATGACATGAGCTTGTGGGGTAAGTAAATAGAGAAATAAAAATTCGGGGTTGAGAGGAAAATATTAAACAAATTGAACCTTGATTCTAAATTGGATTACACCAAAGCAGGTGCAAAGTAATAACAAATAACTTTTGGACGATGACGTTTCGAGCACAATTTATTGCTCATAATCATATCAAGGCAATCACACGACTTCCTAAATTCATTTATATAGTTCCGTTGTTTTTCACTTGATTTGATTGGTAGTAATATTTTCCATATTTCGGGTATGAGTGATGAATCAATCCTATTGCATGTGTTGGGTGTAGATTCGATAAACAAGGATTCAGTAATCAGCCTCTCTCGCTCTCCACCTACCTAGATTACTACTATTTAGAATTTTAACCCTCTCCCACCCTATTGTGTGGTTGTGTGTTAATGCATGCAATGCAATTGCTGAGCTTTTTTCTAAATTACTTATCTTCTCTGGGTCAACCATTCTTACCTTAGCTAAATTCTTATGTACTGACAATCTGACTACCCCTGACCTACTAGTTTGACCTATGTTATTGACCTCACAGTCATTGCAGGGTATTTTGTAAATTATATTATTTTTAATTCGCGAAATATACCCATTAAGACATTGAAATAAGAACAAATTAGTTCAGCGAAGAGTCTCTTTTCGGCGAATTCATTCACTTAGCTGTACAGTCGCAAATATATATACAATTATTGTGTGTGTGTGTGTGTGTACATTAGGTTTGTCAAAATCAAAATAACAGTTAGTGTGGGTTGTTGATTATATCATCAAAATAATGAAGAAGTTAAAATGTGTGATTAATAATCAAAGTTGTAACTAAGTGGGGTGAAGATTGGTAAGATGTGAGTAGGGTTACGTAATATAGACATGTTTAGAAAGATTAGATGCTAGTGAAGGAGTTTGGAGACAATTATGAAAATAAACTAGATAATAGGTGAAAAGATTGGATGGGTTAGTTACTAAAAATTGTTATACGAAAAATTGCAAAAAATTTGATAACAAAATGTTGATGACAAATAAACTTGAAATTAAACCCACGGTAGTAGGAGGGGGTGGAGAAGTTTCTTCTGTGTGCATAACTCAGGCTTTTCCATCCAAATCGCTAGGGCTTCAGCAATACAAAGTATACGGAAGCTTGTCGATTTTGGAAGGCTTCTTTTGACTTTATAGATGACTTTGAACGACTTCTCCTTGCAAATCGAATGACCAGTGTTGAGTATATGCTCAATAATGGCGCTCCTTATTGCTCCGTTGTTACCTTTCCGTAGCCAGGCGGGATAGTGTTCTTGAACTCTTTTAGATAAAACACGCATCGAACGACCTATATACCTCGCTCCGCAAGAGCAGGTGAATTGGTAGATACACATGGAAGTGGTCAAATGCGATAGTTTATCTTTAGAGTAGTTGAAGAACAATGGCCGGGAGGAAAATGTCAGTCGTAGTGTGGCAGCGAAGAATGTCCTTCTGAGAGCAGTAGATATCCTCTTCTTCAAGGTGTCAGCCAGAAGGTCACCTTTGAAGGGTACATTCATGTAGACCATCTTCTTCTGCACTGTAATGGGTTGTTCTTTGTACGTCTTAGGCTTAATGTGCTTGTCTATAAAACGGGGTGGGTAGCCATTCTCGAGCAGTGTCTTCCTTAAGAGGGCGATCTCTTCCTCTATTGATTCAGGACTACAGATTTTTCGGATTCTAGTCACCAGAGATATTATCAAATTTCGCTTGCGACTTATTGGTACCCAACTGTAGAAGTTTGTCAATTGACCGTTCCACGTAGGTTTTCTGTGTACTGATCTGTTCAAGGTACCATCGGTCTTCTTACTTGGACGAACGTCCAGAAAGGAGATTGTCTCATTGGTTTCTACTTCGATTGAAAATTTGATGGCAGGGTGGCAACTATTGAAAACTTGAAGAACAATATTTTGATCACAATTGTGATCGCAGATGACGAAAGTATCATCGACATACCTTTTGTATAAGAAGAATTTGTCGATGGTTGCTCTCAGCGGACCGTCTTCCAAACTTGCCATGAAAATATCAGCCAGCACCGGACCCAAAGATGATCCTATCGCCACGCCATCTTGTTGTCTATAGGAGTTCCCATTGAATGTACCGTAAATGTCCAGTTCACTATCCCGCCTGGCTACGGAAAGGTAACAACGGAGCAATAAGGAGCGCCATTATTGAGCATATACTCAACACTGGTCATTCGATTTGCAAGGAGAAGTCGTTCAAAGTCATCTATAAAGTCAAAAGAAGCCTTTCAAAATCGACAAGCTTCCGTATACTTTGTATTGCTGAAGCCCTAGCGATTTGGATGGAAAAGCCTGAGTTATGCACACAGAAGAAACTTCTCCACCCCCTCCTACTACCGTGGGTTTAATTTCAAGTTTATTTGTCATCAACATTTTGTTATCAAATTTTTTGCAATTTTTCGTATAACAATTTTTAGTAACTAACCCATCCAATCTTTTCACCTATTATCTAGTTTATTTTCATAATTGTCTCCAAACTCCTTCACTAGCATCTAATCTTTCTAAACATGTCTATATTACGTAACCCTACTCACATCTTACCAATCTTCACCCCACTTAGTTACAACTTTGATTATTAATCACACATTTTAACTTCTTCATTATTTTGATGATATAATCAACAACCCACACTAACTGTTATTTTGATTTTGACAAACCTAATGTACACACACACACACACACACACAATAATTGTATATATATTTGCGACTGTACAGCTAAGTGAATGAATTCGCCGAAAAGAGACTCTTCGCTGAACTAATTTGTTCTTATATTATTTTGTCTAATTGGGTCAACTGGGTCTTTTAACCTATAGAGCTTGTGTCTGAGTGAGTTTGTAGGTTTAAATGCCACCCTTTTTTTTCCTTCACAATCCCCAGTGAAACATAGGACTTCAAGCTAGTGGCTTGAGGTTTCTTTA